CAAAATCGCTACACAATTGCAGTCGTGTTTCGACGCGTATCAATGCATTTCATCAGGCAATTGTAAATTACTGGCATATGAAAGGTTTATTTAGATTTAAAAGCCAAATACAATCTCTTTTAACGAAAAAAAGGTTTTTGGGCTTTACTTTGATCAACCAATCAAATATGACGTACGTTAAATTTAAACTAAGCAAAGAAGCAAAAATTTATTTTCTTTTTATAAATGAAACGGTAGCTAGACATAAACAGGAGCGGATGTGAATGGATACATAAATTATACAAACTAGACAATGCCATTTCCTAAGAAATAATAATGGCGTGGAGAAGTAATTTAACAAAATGTTAAACAAGTCATACGTTTTGTGGGCTTCCTACATAATTTTTTTTATAGTTGATAAATAAATAGCTTCTTTAAGAAACTAGTAATTAATTTAAACGTATAGAATTATTTGGTAAATAATTATTCAACTCTTGAATAAAGATTCTTCATATCAGATGTTAATAACAATAATCAATCAATGTAAAATGTCAAAAATACCAACCAAATACCAACACATCCGCACAAGATATTACTAATACTACCAGGAGATTAATACAAAATGATATTAAATCAAAATTAATCTTACAGATAGAAAAATAAGCCATATATGGTGCAACACAGTACAACTAAAATATAAGAAAAAGCATAATCAAATTCCAAAGTTTAACTAAATTGTCAGGTAAAACGGTAAAGTATGTTTACAATTTACTGTTAATTCATTCCTTTGATTTTATCAAATTTTTTTCATTGAATCTGATAATTTCCAGTTTTTCATATATATCACTGTCTTTGATTACCGTATTTCCCGCTACAAGTGGCAAGACATATCCCATGTTAGACAAATAATTTATTTAATAGCTTACCGTACTTAAGTCCAAGTCGCCGACTTTATGATATCATTTTTCTTTCTTTCACAACAAATTTTGGACCCTTATTAAATCTTTGTGGGTATTATTCATTAGATTTTCAATAGTTTAGCAGAATGTGATACGTATTCATATGAGAAACAACTCATAATTGCGACCATAAGCCACAAGTCGTCTCAACACACGGCGTGTTTACATCTAATTTTTTTTGTTTATTTAGTTTAAGTGAGTAATTATTCTTCCTGGTCTGTTCCTGGGATTCTCTTTTCTTATGATGCATATCAAGATTCCGAACCTTTACCCCCACCCCCGCCTTTTATCTTGACTGAATCAACCTTTGATAATTCTCCACTCCCTCATTTATTTTGTCTCTTCTTTGCCCATAGCGAGTGAACTGCTTGATTCGGCAGAATACAATGGACACTCTTATTTTTCTGTGGGGTGGACGCGTCCTATTAACATATTTTAATTTTAGTTTGAATGTTTTGTTGTATTTTATTTTCGCTATTGTGTTCATTCCATCCCAACCTCATTTCATTTCATAATTTTATATATTTTTATATAAAAACGAACAAACAATAGGATCCTTGTGAATATCCGATATTGTGGTATGTGTTGGATTGAATGGCAATGAATGAGCTCTTGTGGTGTATGAGTAAATTGTAATTGAATCTTGAACCAGATTTTTTAGGTGTAGGATAGTGACGACCAACCGTTTCCCCCTTTTGGCCTTGCGCCACATGAAATGTAATATTTCCCCTACCAAAAATATATATCTTCAAATAACACAACAACCTGAAACAGACGCTAATTTCCGAATTACCTCATATATCACCAAATTTGATTATTTCTTTCTAAAGTAACCAATAACAATACTGAACATACAGATAAAAGCAAAAACATTAACATTTTCGATAAGAAGTAAATACACGTTAACTACAAACTGAATTTTCACTTAGAAACATTATAAAGAAATGCATAACCCCAGCCAAACAGAATAAGAAATTAAATTATCTGCTATAAGTAATTTAAAACAGTTAATTTCATTAAAACAACAACTCACCTGAAATATTTAAGTTACAGGGAATCTATATTATTCAAGAATTCACATATCCCTTAAGGAACTATATTGCTGATCAAACCGAATTTATGAATAATTGTATTGGACATAGCATTACATGCTTATCATGAAGATTCACGTTACATAAACTCTGACTATAGATCAATTAGGACTCATTTAAACACACATGGAAAACTACAAAACTGCATCAGCAACATACTCCTAGAAAATACAACCCTAATAGCCTCAGTCACATGTAGAAAAGGCTAAAAATAATCGAAACATTGATAATAAAAAGAAAAAGGCCAATACTCAATAGCATCAGCTATGAACACAGTAACAATGTACTGACTGTGTTTGGAAAATATTAAAAAAAAATCACATAACTCTAGATACATACATAAAAATCTACACATTCAGTTAGAATTTTAAAAAAATCCTTGATAATGCCTAAAAAAATAGCCGAAAGACATACAAAACATTCAGACAATTTTTACACGCCTTATTTCTAGAAAAGAAAAAAACTTATACGAACCCCCCAAAATTAAATACAAAGCTTAAATGCATCTTTAACGAAATTTCGTAGAAAATATGCTTCCTGCGACAGGAATCAAATCTGTGTCCTATACGGAATCGTCAATTGATCTAACGTGCTATACCACCCAGCTACAGAAAAGCGTCTAGTTAGCAAAGTTCAAAATACTGGTTATAAACAACAAATCTTCGACGATCTTTCCCGAACGATCATATCTACTCACGAAATTGACAAATCTGTCGACACAACATAATTCTCTCTATTAAATCTTACAAAAATAAAATATACTTTCTGAAACTTTGAGGAAGAATATTTAATTTAAAGTGTAATTAATCGTATTTGAGACTAATATTACTAATATTGTATATTGCAGAAAAGTTTTTTTTTTTTTTTTAGTACGGCGTCTTTTTCAATAAACTCATGTTTGTTAATTTTTTCTAAGTGGGACATAACCAGAACAAGTGCTTGACGAATATAACGTTAACTTTTATTTTGTATATTTTTTTAATTACCAATTAATCTTAAAAATTAAGAAAGTATTTTAAGCAATCTAATATTTTATTGAATTTTAGGTACTTTGACTTTATCGTCTAAATTACAAAGATGCCTGTTGGAGAAATGTTAGAAAACTACCAATTAAATTTAATTTTACCTATAGTTACCAAACTTGTTTTCTGATAATGTTGGGTTTGGACATGCGTATTTACAAAAGTCGAAACGTCTAAACATGCATAAAATAAATTAAAAATTCTTTTTAAAATATTGGAGTAAGCTTTTCCATTTATGATTAATAAATACAGCTTTTCCATTTATGATTAATAAATACAGTTTTAATTTAACTTGACCGATTTAAAAGTTTACAAATTGTTCTAATTAAAATTTAATAAAAAATGAAAACAATTCTTGTAAAAAATCATTATTCATTGAATTTATTTTTTAAGACAATAGTGTCTATAATTTATTTTATACATAAAAGAAATTGAAAGCTTTTCTAATTAAATAATGTTTTAGTTTTATTGTATTTTTTATTTTACGGTTCAGAGCATAAAAAATAAAAATAGTGTTTAATAAATATACGGAGCGTCTACTAAAATATAGGTATCCATTAAATAATAATAATGTTTAAACAATAAAATCTGTCAGCTTAATAAATTAAAATTTATTACTTCGTTCTCTCTCTCTCTCTCTCTCTCTATATATATATATATATATATATATATATATATATATATATATATATATTTATGGAATTAATATAAGCAAAAGTTTTGTCACTTAGCTGATTGATGTTACTTTGAGCATGCCGACTACATAGTTTCGTAGTCAGACCCTTCCATCCACTCATCAGAGGGTATCAGCAATTGATTGCTTATACTTGTCGATTTTTCTTTTTATATGCACATATCATTGGTTTTTCGTAGTGTGTACGTGTGGGCGCATGTGTGCATGTGTACGTTTGCGCGCGGATTTGCGTTCGTGCGTGTGCGCCCATGCGCCCGTCTACGCTGATGTGCATACGTGTAGGATGTCGTGATTATTTGTCCTTTTCTTCGTTTTATTTTCTTTGCTTTATACTCATTCCTTAGCCTTTTCCTCTTTTCTTTCAGTTGCAGCCATTTGTTGCTATTTGATTTCCGATTGATTTTTCATTAAATATCCCACATTGTAATAATAGACGATTTGCCAAGAAAGGAGAAATCTTATAAAAATGTGGACGTAAATTTATTGTGGATAATATCGCGATTAAAGCACTTTTTATGCATTTTTTTTTGTAAATTGTGTTCTCTTTTAATTAAAGTACCATTTTTTAAATCAAAGTTATAGTCAGTCTCATTCCAATGAGCAGCTAAGGTGTTCAGTGAGTTGTTTTGTAAAAGATCCCTTTTGTGTTCATATAATCTTTTATTTAATTCCTTATGGTTTCTCCTATGTTTTCATTGTGACAATTATTACGTTTCAATATTCACTGGTAGAATTTTATTTGGTTTGTTTTAAATCTTTTCTTCATTCCCGGTTTCCTCTGTCATACAGGAAACTAGACATAAAAATCTGGAATTCTTTTATTCCAAATGTTATTTTTCGATCCATTAGAATTTGAGATTCTGAAAAAGTATTTGTTCCTTTTAATTTTCTATTGCATCTTCTTTTTTTTTTCTTTTTATTCCTTCCTTTATAGAATTTAGCAAGATTTCATTTTTTTGCGTTCAGTTTCATATTTCATTTCTTGGGGAGGATGGAAATTGTCAACGTTAATTGTAACCCATTTTAGTTTGTATAGAAAAGAAGGCGCAATGCTTATCCAGTAAAACGTATCTTTTCTTTGCATCTTTCAGTTTCATTCTTAAATTTACACAAAACGCCAGAAAAGTCAAAAGAAGCAAACGTCTCCCCAGAGAATATTTATCGCTTATTCTTTATCTATAAACATTTTAATAAGCAATTGTTCAGTAATTTGATCGAGATTGCTATCAAAGTGTTGTTTGGTTTATGAAATAGGTTAAAGATAGCATACCGGTGAAAAAGAGGAATAAAAAAGAAAGGAGAAAGAAAAGAAGGAGAAGGTGAATAAAAAGATTAGGGAAAAAGAAGAAAAAAAAAAAGGAAATGAAAGAAAAAGAGAATAAATATTGTAAAGAAGAAAGAGGTAGGAAAGATTTGAAAGTGATACAGAATAATTAGAAGTAACACAAGGGGAAGGGAGGAGAAAGAGTGAAAGAAGACAAAATTTAAAAAAAAACAAGAAAGTTAAATAAGAGAAAAAGAAGAAAAAGAAGGAAGGCTTGTGAGAAGAGGTAAAAAGAACGAGAAAGAAAAAGGTAACTGAAAATGTTAGAAAGATTCAAGAAGAACAAAAGCGAGAAGAAAAGAAAAAGGGAAAATAAGAACGTAAAGCGATCTTGAAAGAAAAAGAAGAAAAAGAAAGACGTAAAAGAGAAGGTGACAGTTAAGAAGTTGTTGAAGACGAGGAGGAAGAAGAAGAAGAAGAAGAAGAAGAAGAAGAAGAAGAAGAAGAAGAAGAAGAAGAAGAAAGAAGCGGATAAACGAAAAGCCAAATCTGAGGAAGTTGTGGGGAAGAGAAACTAGATGTTAGTGAAGAAGAAGAAGAAGAAGAAGAAGAAGAGGAGGAGGAGGAGGAGGAGGAGGAGAAGATCGTGCTTGCAATAATCGAAGAAACAGAAGGCTGCTGAACCATTTCAGGTAGACAAAATGGGAATATTGAATTCGGACATTCAGAACGTTTCCTTAGTAACGGGAAATCGACCAACGGAGTTGAGAGGTCATTGAATCGATACGAACGAATCAACATTTGGTTCCATTGAAGAATTTCTGCTTGCGTTTGTTTCTTGTAATTTATGGCGATTTGCAGCTGTAGATTTAAGGCGACGTGTCAGAAATACAATTCTCCATGAATAACATAGCCAACCAATCAAAATCAAGGATTGCTCGGACGAAAATGATATTATCTCTCTCCTATGACGGATTCTACAAGCATTAGGCTAACTTCACGCAAAAAAAAAAAAAAATAAAAAAAACCTACTCTTTGTCCGAGTTTTTTAAAAGAAACATTTAGATGCTTTTAGAATCCTAAGCCGTATTGCAAGGAAAGCCAATCCAAAATTAGATATTTGGATTTGTCGAAAGTTATAAGAATACGAGTTGAATTATCTTGTCTCTGTTGGTAAGACGTTATGCCTTCGATCACAGCTGGTTATCATGATAGTAAAGTGATCGATACATTATTCATGAAAGTTTGTTCATTATAATTCCCTATAACAAAGTCAAAGAAATAAAATGTAAAACAAAGAAATATCTATTTTATAATCTTTGTTTCAGTTAGAAATTTGCCATTGTCATTATCAAAGTGCGTCAAAATTAATTTTCAGTGACACCGATCATATTTTTCATATTTATAAAGTAACTGCGACTTACTTACGCATAAATGCATTGGGTAAAGAATGTATTCGCCTCTTCTTTCTTCAGCTATAAGTTAAATAATAGGGTAGATTAGGCTCTTTAGCTTTGGGTGGGTACCAGTCTAAGACAAAGAAAACTCTGAATTCCAAATTGTGCAGAAGGTAACGGAAAACCATTATATTTCCCAAGAAGTCATGGTAATTAGCAGATATTGAAAAAAGGAAGCTGTGGAGACTCATGAACACCTATGTCTTGAAGACATTTAGAATATTAAAAAAACCGCGTAAAGATATCTACTAGGACCGCAAAAAATGTACATTCCATTTTTTCTTGGTAAATTTCCAATGGATAAATTTCAAAATACTATCAATAATATAAAATATGTTGGGGAAAATTGTTCTGTAAAAATACTTTTTCAAAGCAAAAATATTTTTTCTTTTTCGAACATTATTAATAATAAAAAAAATTATAGTTTTATATGACGGTTACAAATGATAATTATTCCTATAACATACCTTTTCTTATGACAGAAAAGAAGTAGAGTCCCACCGCTTTTCCTTCGATGAACAATTTTTTTGGCTAAAATTTTTCTTTGATATGTACCGGGTGTAACAGCAAAATTGTCCATATCGTGTAACAGCAAAATTGTCAATCCCACAAAATGTTTAATATCTAAAAAATAAAATAAAATAAAAAACAAAAACACTAAACTTATTCAGTTTCTTTTGTCCATGTTTTCAGATAAGACGTGTAGCCATCTTGACACTATTTGTCGTAAGAATCACTGAAAAACCCTTTGAGTTATTTAGCTAGAAAGAGAACAAATTAAAATCGTTTTGTGTCAGTCCTACAGTCTTCTCAAGTGAGCAATGTTGAGAGGAAAAAGATTATTCCGGTCTAGTAATCGTACAAACATTCATATTCTGGATTCCATCTTCAAAATCCATTCAAGAACCATCAAGCGAACGGTGAATAAGTTTAAAAAAGAAAGAACAATAAAGAAGAAAACTGAATCAGGAGGTCACAATTGGGAGAGGGATCATCATTTCAACTTAAATTAGAAAAGATCCAACTCAGTTCATAAGACGTTTGGGTCGTGAGAGAGGAGTTTCACTATTGACAGTACAAAGAGCAGTGAAAAAAAACTTGAAAATGAAATCGTATGTGAAAACTGTGAGGCAGCTTGTTACTCCAGGACAGAAAGTTAGAAGGTTAGAGAGAGCGGAGATCATCATGAACTTCCGATCCTTAGCTATGATTAATTAAAGATGAACATGTCATTTTCGTTTATGATCGATTTAATCACGATACTTCTGTTAAGCTTGGAGTATATTTATACATTCTTATTGTTCAAAGTAGAGTCCAATAGTGTTGTAAAAACCTCGAAGAATTCCAATAAGATATCTTTAATCATTTGTAAGATACAATAGTTCAAAGCCTAATCTAAAAATTGACAATTTTGCTTTAACACGATTTGGACAATTTTGCAGTTACACCCGATATACAAAATGTAAATGGTCTTTATAAAAGGGTTTGGTCGTGAATTCAGTATAAATGTATGCATATATCCTGAATTCGGTATATTTGGACAGAAATTGTGTTTTAAGCATTTACTGTAAAAAACAATAGACATTTTGTGGCTATTCTATTTAATGATTATTTTTCTAATGTACGAATAACCTTTCGTAAATGTGTTTATTGTATGTGGATAAATTCACAAGAACTCATGTTGTGTAGTATCAAGCATTCGACTTGCATCAGTTGTCATCGTGTGTGTGTGTGTGTGTGTGTGTGTGTGTGTGTGTGAAAAATAACTGTTTTAAGAAGTCGACTATTATTTTTTGAAAATATTATCTTTTGAAAACTAATTCAAATGCAACTTGAGGCAACTCGTCATCTGACCCCAACATGTAATAACGTGCTTAGAATCATAAATAACTTGTTTGGAATAATATTTTTTATATGTATTCAAGATTTCTGGGTTTCAAACAATAGAGATTTTTATTTATGGATTGTTACTTTAATTCGATGTAAATAGTTTCTATAATTTTTCATCAATTTTTTACAAATAGATTTGTAAAGATTTCTTATATTATTAGCAAATAACTGTCTGATATTGTAATTCTTGTGGTGCTTGTTGGTCCGCTGTATAATGGCATTTTAATCAGGTAAATGATATGTGAGTCTACATGAAAGTGGTTGTTGTAGACATATTGTGTTTATTATTTACAGAGATACACTCTCTACTTGGGAAAATGTCTTCATAAATGCTATTAGTATTATATAGGGAGTTGGCGGGTCGAGAGATATTTTTTTTTATTATGTTACTGATTTTAAATATATTTTTATAGTAAATTATAAATATTACATGTTTGTTTTTATCAACGAGTTTGTTTTTTTATTTTCATTTCATCCTTTTTGTAGTTGTGGTGCATTTGATTTCAGTCAAATATGTTTATTGAAGTATTGCCAATGATACCTTTTCTCACACAGCAAATTGTTAAATTTTTGTTACTCAAAATGATGTTGAATCCTTAACGCATATTCCGAGCATCCCTTGAAACACATCACATAGCATAGCCCAGATAACGTAACAAATTGATTATTGAATTCAGTATCTCAGACTTTTGCATTAGGCAGTTTCTGATAGATGTTAGAGTATACAACACTTACTTTGAATCTGATCACAGACTAAATATAACTAAGCTTACATCACCATCCAACATAATATCTAGCTTCTTCCCACGTAAACCATGAAAAACACTTAGGTATAACACCCAGCCCCTTTAAAATGAAGTGGTAAATTTAGAATTCATCAATAAACTAGATTCCAGATTGATTTAAATAAATCTTGATCAAAACAGCATAGAGGAATCAAATGTTATTATGTCTTCATTAGCTGAAGCGCGTGGATCGTTCCAAGAATAATTAGAAGGAAAAAAAAGATACTCCTGGTGAGTTTAAAAATAAAAAGATAAAAGAATGAAACAAACAGAATAGGAAAAATTGAAGGGAAAATACTAGACAAATAACAAAAAATTAGTTAATACTCTGAAAAACCAACGTCTGTGGAAAATTAGAAACGAAATTAATAAAGCCAAGATGCATAGACAATGACTTAAGATGTGAAGAAAATCAGAGTAATCACAATAACATCATACAATCAAAATGAAAACAGAAGAAATATCCTGGTTTCTAAAAAGCACTGAGTCTAATTTTAATCATGACCACATTAAACTAAGAAATAGTGAAATATATCAATATACATCCAATCAGTGAAATATACCAATATACATTCAATCAGTAGAATAAGGAAATTAAGTTATTAAAAACCTAAGAAATAATAAGGCATCATAAGACATTGAGACTGAACCTTAGAAATATATATATATATATATATATATATATATATATATATATATATATATATATATATATATATATATACATACTTGTACTATCGGTTGATCAGTCTATACATGTTTTGCTCTTATATGACTCTCTAAGCCAGTCAGGGTCTAGCGTTGTTTATCACAAAGGCTACCGCTGAAAAGACTCACGGCCTGTGTTGCTGCTGCTTCCTGGTTAATATTATGAATTTTCATGTTTCTCTTTTGGCTTCCCATTCAAGCGCTCTCTTCTCCACAAGGTGTACATATTTTCAGACCACCCTCAATGTAGTTAATAACGTTACCGTTCATGCGACGACGTTGGTAATTTTTTAAGGCCTTCTTTACATAGGCATTTTTATCTCATTGAAGCCATGTGAAATCACATTCAATGTCGACATACGCTGGGAATTCAACATTTTTACCTTTTCTGAGACATCTGTCTCAACTGTTGATGCTTCTTCCTCTGATCTTCAAATGCGCTTGCAACTGCCTTCAAGGAACGCCTCTAGCTGCCACGGTCCAAAGCAGCATTCTCCAAATCTTCTATTCTCACCACATGACTACACCACCTAAGACGATGTTGCAGGATAATGCTTTCAAGGCTCATCGTTCAGTTTTCCAAAGGAAGCGCAAGCTTTGCCAATTCGCAAGGATGCCTCATCGTCAGGAGTGTACATTGTTCAAAGTGCTACTTAAGTACACAAATTTATCTGCAATCTTCAACCTATGCCGATAAACATACACAGAAGGCTCAGCATATTCTTTACCAGGGGCATGTTGATAGAAATAAACTGTTTTTAAAAGTTTTTTAAAAAGTTTTTATTATTAATGGGAGTCCAACGAATGCACAGTTTTGAAACAGCTAAATCTTTGCGTTGTAGTAGTTATTGTTTCGCACTTCGTGATGTCATTTGCGTGTGCGTGCCAAAGGAAATTCCTTGGCGTGTCACACGTAGGTTGCCGACCCGTGCATTAAATAACAAATCAACGAAATGCTGCATGTCACTCTAAGAATGAGCAAAAATAAATCAAAGTTGTCAGCATAGAGGAATTCTCGGATGAGGGCATTTTGTACCTTTGCGTCGGCAGCCATAGGCCGCAGGTTAAACAATTTTCCTGACGTGCGATACTTAATGTAGAATTCATGAGGACAATCCTTAAAAGCCATCGCAAACCCTATTGAAAAGTATATGGCAAAAATTGTAGGCGTGGGAATGTCTCCCTGCTTGACATCTTTCTCTATGGGTTTTTAGTTTTGAGAGCTTACACCAACATTTAGCAAGGCTTTCATATCATCATGAAAGTGACGCGAAACTTTTATGAACTTTGCAGGACAGTCAAGCTTTCTTAAGATCTTTCAGAGAGCAGTTCGATTAACTGTATCGAAAGCCTTTTCTAAGTCAACAAAGACCTGATAAAGATCCATTCTTTGTTCTACACACTTCTCCTATAGCTGCCTCACAGAAAAAGAACATATTTACTGCGCCTCAACCATGGCGAAAAACACATTGTCACTCAGGCAATACCTCGTCTGCAATGTTGGTGAGCAGTCTAACAGAAGTCTATACAATACCTTAGCAACGACCGAGACAAGGGCTATGCCATGTGAGTTCCCACAAAGGTTTTTTGCACCTTTCCCCTTATACAAAAAAACCATAAAGGCATCTTTCCAATACTCCTACACCTTTTATATGTGATCTGTTAGTATACGAGTGAAGCTTTTTGTTATGGGGAAACACACCTATTCTATAGTCTTTTACTCTCCCACCTAATATAAGTAAGAGTAGTAAGAGAAACGAGGGTCAGTCGATGTCGGACGACAGTAGTCGACAGTTAGTCGAATACGAAAGTAGTCAGCGACCACAACAAGATTACTCTGCGTAATACCTATTATATCAAATTTTGTACGTCCAACTATTTAGGACCGATTTAGTACAAATGCAAGCCTCCACTGCGAAATAACTCCACAACAACTTTGGCGACGAGGATTCGCACTCATACGGAGGAAGAAAAAATTCGCTCGCCACAATAACTTCGGCGACAAAATCTCGGATTCACACTAAAAAAAAAAAAAAAACATGTCAAAGTTTTTCGCAAGCCAAGACGTCAACTTAGTGACGAAAAAATCTGTCGTATTCTCAACTGAGAAAAGAAATATTTTTTCTCGATAATACAGTTTGCTCAAATAGGCCACGAATTGCAAATTCGTAGGAACCCCTCTACAGTATTTAGGCATTGTGTAAACTTTTTGCGAAGATGGAGGAATGCAAAAATATATTCCAGGAATTCTGTAAGTTCCAGTCAGAACAACAGGTGACAATATTAGAGCAACAAAAAACATTTTAGATGCAGCTACAGGAGGAAACTTTCAATAGACAAATGCAATTCCAACAAAAAAATTTAAATTTTTTATTTTACTGATTGGATGCATATTGGCATATATATATATATATATATATATATATATATATATATATATATATATATATATATATATATGATAAAATATAGCTTTAAGGTATGCTATATTTATAGGTTAATGTGCTCAATATTAGGAATAGAGCGTATGTAAATATAAATGTGGACATTGAAATCAACACCCAGCGGCGACAGCGTGTTTCATGCTTAAACGCAATCGTCAAGCCATGATCTGACGATTCTGTATTTACATATGAAACAGTGTATAAAGTATCTTTCCTCGGAATCATGCTAAACCATATTGATATTTAAAAAAATTAAATATTTATCGCAAATATAATAAAATGATTTGATAAACTACTATTCACACCATAACAACAAAATTAAATTTCTTTTTATCCCTCAATATTTACACGATGAAGAGAAATACATTGAAAATACTTTTAAACTGTCTAATTATTTCATATATAATGCTAAGCGGAAAGATCATTAGATTTAGAAAACCAGAAAAAATAAATAATAAACTAGACGCATAATACTTGCTAGCAATAGTATGACGACTAAATTAAATGCAATCTTAATATGTTTTTTTACTGTAAGTTCACTCAATGCAAGGTTCAAGCTAAAGGGTTACTTACTGAGTTTGTTCTAAGGGAATACGTAGGTGGAAGTAAGAAATGCATATCACAAGGACATATAACAGAGATATCGGTTGACCCTAGACTTAAAGAGACCAAAAGAATGAAGCTGTTTGAATGGAACTTAATCCTTATGAGAGGAACACGAAGAGAATGGGGATGGTTTGCCAACTTAAACGCGACGTAGTGGGTTTTTAGCTGTGAAGGTCTGAGTTGGTAGAACTAATGGATGTAACTGGTTAGAATATTTGTCATAGCGTAGTGAGAGGCTAGTAACGTTTCGTTTGTGAGTTACAGATGGCAGAGTGGAGAATAATTCATCAACTACATGGCCGAGTAAATGTTTTGAACTCTGTCGAGGGTGAACAGTTAGGATTGAGCAGCACCAACCCAGATTATGTCAGATTCTTGGATTTTGGTTTGACTCTTGTGAAAATAGAACATGATAGAAGGAGTTTATTATTTTCTAAAGCGATACAAGGAACGGTCACTCTCGTAATTTTTTTGCGATAAGATTATTTAAAAACAAGAGATTTAATTAATAAAAAATAAAATCATTACTAAAACTAAAACATGAAGTAAGAATTTTCTCAATATCGCAGACGAGGACATATTTCACAAACGGGAAACAGCGAGTCTTCGGTTTTTCCAAATTGAGGATTGCGAACTGGAGATTCTTTCTATATCTGGGAAAGATATATTCCCCAAAAGAAACGGCTCCATATAAGCTGCTAGGGGAGGTAGATTAAGCCTCATCACGGGACATTTGGCCCACGCTAAAAAAAATCAACCGCTCGGGTTGACTGCTGTAAACAAATTGAATGACTCGTCACCCATGTCGCTGTATGAAGTGGCGTTACTAAGCGATCAAGTGACGGATCACGTGACCCATGTGAGCTATCTCCACCAAATGGAGATTATCTCTGTATCTCTACAATGGTAATAAGTTGAATGAAGTCGGTCAGCCGTGTATCCAGACACATCGGATTACAGAAATTTAAAATTCAAATTAAACGTTTCAGCCTTTCGCTCGATTACAACCGACGCTTGTTTACGTTTTCGTTGTCCCCCTCCATATATATATATATATATATATAACAATATAACAATATATATATAACAATATAGTTCATGCCACTTTGACAGTAAAATTTACCAGTAAAATAATTTGTTCATTACCATATTTGGTATAAACGCAAACATTTTAAAAAAAGGAAAAATTCAAAATCAAACTTAGCGTTGCTTTGTGCGCGTTCAAAAACCAATATCTCATTTTCAATAGCATTTCGGATACAATACACATATATTTTCGATGTCCTCTTATTACTAAGAGAAAAAAACAAGAACAACATCTATTATATACCTGAAGATGTCTGTAGGAACAGACGAAAGCTTGTGTAAAAATAACAACTAATACGGCAGAAATTTATATGAACAAGGATCAATTCATTCATAACGGATCTGAGGTTTTTGTGTAATATTTGAATTGTTTGCGAGATGGATGTCTCGCCATTTAAAATCATTAACCTTTGCATTAGTTTTGTGTGAATAATTCATGTATTTGTAAATTGATTGCACGTTTATTGTAATATATATATATATATATATTATATCTATATTTGAAAAGCATAAAATTCTGTTCAAAATATTTAGATTTCGGCATTAAATAACCCATAGAGGTGTTGATATGCTGCTAAACAAAATCAACCAACTAACCTCGTATATGATATTGAACACCGGACAAATTTATCACAGATAAAGACAAGGCAGCAAATCCGGTTGTACAGAAGAATGGCGAAAATACCACGGAAAGTTTATGTGAACAATTAGGAAGTTTTGAAGAAATCGAGATAAAAAAGAAAGAATATATAGTTACAATAAGAAAGAGATAGTTGGAATTTCTAGGACATATAACAAGGAGAGATGGCTTGGAGAATTTGACACTCACCGAGGGACAGAGAAAAACAGCTTGTAACCTACCGAACGAGCTTTTGTACACGGATAGAAGGGCGGAGACTGGGAAGGATAGTAAAAAGAGAAATATTGCTAAGCACTATAAAGGATAGGAAGTTGTGGAGATCCATGATCACCCACGTAATGAAGAAGAAGAAAAGGAAGATGATAATTTCGAGACCAAGGCTGGAAACGACGAAATGACGAATTTTCAACTATAACAAAAACAACATCTCGTGTCTTAAACACAGCTGTATATGTTATTAACACTATTTACATTCTTCGGACTGTTGCTCTCATCTGTTTTTTGCCATATTTATGACGTTTTGGCCATTTTACGCTCCGGCCTTCTTCAGGTGATATTAGTTGTAAACCATTTATTTAGTCCACCGGAGTAGATTGTTCTCGTTCCACGTGTCATAACATTTTTGTATATCTCAGTTTCAGTTAATTTATCTTGGTAACTAAAACTGAATATCCAAAAAGTCATTGTACGTGGAACTAGGAGAATATACCACCATCGGCTAAATAAATTGTTCGGTTCAAAATTCCAACGTATATAACCTGAAGAAGACCGGAACGTACAACGGCCGAAACGTCGTGAATATGACAATAGAGATGAGGAAAATAGTGCCAAACAAAGAAAATAATGTAAATAGTTACAATACCTCATCTCAGAAATATAGATAGATGTATTTGTTAGTAAAGTGTATCAGCCGTTACGCACAAAGAATTCAGGATTCTGGTAGAATGAGCTGATCATTCAATCAGTCCAAGCAGTGTCAGATTCTTCTGTGGTACATTTTACAAGTTTCAGGTTAAACCAAACGTAGAATATCTGGACTGAAGCTGCTAAATCCTTATTACGAGTCTTGTGAGCGAAAACTCTATTCTGCAGCTTTTCCCAGAGACGCCACTTTGCAAATCTATCGCTACTCTCCTTCCATTTCCATGGCGCATGCTCCGTTGAGCATCATTCTTTAATTCAGCCAATTCAGCCTTTTACATTTAGGAGACGCCATGCTATTTTCACGCTCATCAACCCCATTTCTTCCGTTTGCCAATGGTAAGAAGAACGTTCCACTCCGACAACCTTTTCCTAAGAAATGAAACTTTGGAGAATAGACTCCTCTAAGGATGATTCTCTGAACATTAGAATATTCAAATTAATGGTCAATCGTTATCTATCTTCTTTATCCTCATAATCTGGACTTCCTACCATCACCTCCATCATTCATATTACACTTCTCGCTGCTCTGTCGATACTTCCATGGAAAGTGCTCGGATGAACAACATTCCTTGGTCCCACCGAGGCAAACCTTCACGGCAAGGACACGCCAAGGACACGCCATGACACTTACATAGTAGCAAACCACCCATATTCCCTCCGTATTCAATCGCTGAGAATTAATTTCCACTCGAGTAGCTTTTTCTCTGGACCACTGCCCGATGAAACCGACTCCCAATTGGATGTTTCCCCGATCACTACAATCTTAAGCTATTCAAGGCTAGGGCTAATCATTATTACTCTCACCTATACACAAAAAATGGCCTAAGGCAACCCTCTACCTCGAGTGGCCCACGGGCCTTGTAAAGAGTGACTCTCATTGTAAAAAAAAAAAAATCATTCACCACAAGCATTTTGACAGTAACCTTATACACTACAATACTCTGACCTTTTCAAGTCAAGTGTTAGTCATTTATCCTCTTCATAATTTTCGATTCCTACCACTTCTTTTACTATTCATTGATGAAAACTATTTTAACAGTAATCCTCTACTCTGAATGGCTCTCGAGCCTTGAATTGGTAAACATTAGTATAAAAATTGAACATTGTGTGCTTACGAAATGTAGTACGGAATTTTCCGCTTTCCTTTGTGAGCAGTACTACTTATGAGACGTTAATCTGGCTCTCAAAGGGACAATTTCAAAGGAAACGCTGGAAACTAGGTGTCGGAGTAAGAATATTTTCTTGATCAAATTCAAACATTTGGGCCATCATATTGCTAAAAATCGGTATTGGCCCAAATGAGTGACATTTTTGTAAGTAATGCCTTTTTCCAAATAGATTCCAACAAAACTTCAGTTGACGTGTGGGAAATTCGGTTAGAAGTCCAACAGTTTCATCGAACAAAACTGGAACATGTTTCTTATATAAAAACTTGCAGGAAGTGATGAAATGTCTTTAAATGGGAGTTCATGTCTAATAATATAAAGATACGTTCCTACATGCACGTAAGAGGTTACGGTCACATCACGTTAAAGCATCGATTCTCGTACAATCAGCGAAGTTAAGCCTGATTAGTACCTAGATGGGTGACCGCTTGAGAATACCAGGTGCTGTAAGCTTGGATGTACGGGTGGTGTAATGGATAACGGCTCGGAATGAGAAATCGGAGAGCCGAGATCGAATTCCAATTGGGTTCGTTAGAGTCACTTACGCGCAAATACTCTTGGGGAATCCACCTCTTCCCACAACAGCTATGGGTTAATTAGTATGATTTGTATCAATAAATCATTATCTCGAAAAGAATTCTGTTAAGATGAGCCATAGAAAATAGCAAGCGTCTGAGTTTAGAACTTGGTATGTTAGATAGCTGCATATCCCCAACAGCTTTAGCGGCCGGTGTTCAAACTTAGGTAATGATAACTAGGATCTCGAATGTTTTTTTTTCAAGGCAGAAAGCCTTCCTAACTTGAGAGATTCGCACGAGACACTTCTTACCCGTATCTCTTCTCTTGGCCTTTTCAAATACACCTAAGCTATGCACCTTCACAGACATATGTATCAAACAAATATGGAAACCTTACCTATTCAATACAGTGATCTATGAACAAGGAAAAAGATGAACAAAACAATATATAGATATTGAGTTACTTATGTACCACCTACACGAAACCAAAAGTTTCATATGTGCCAATATTTGATATGACAGCACAATCATCAGATGATCAAGAAAGACATTGTGCTGCCATATCAAATATTGGCGCATATGAAACTTTTGCTTTTCTGTAGGCGGTAGATGAATACCTTAATATCTCTTTCTCTCTTTCTCACTCTCTCTATTTCTCTCTCTCTCTCTCTCTCTCTCTCTCTCTCTCTCTCTCTCTCTATATATATATATATATATATATATATATATATATATATATATACCTACATGATAATGCTATATATACATATATATGCTATATATGTTCATAAAAGCACATTTTCTTGCACAGTGAGATATTTTATGACTGGTGTTTCCATTTTTCTGGAACCTGTTCTACCAATTAAGATTAAACTTTTATATTGCTGCAAGAAGTAAAAGCCACAACGACTATTTTAATGTGAAGCATGGAGAAATATATGAAATATCAGTCAAGTTCACGTGGCTTATTTGCGTTTTTATCAGCCTAACAAAAGCAAATTCATTTCCTCAACCGACACCACAAAACTCTATCCCAATAGGCGCAAAATTCAGTAATCTTCTTCTAAACCTCGTAGCGATCACGTCTCTCCACAACTTCTTAGCCTTTATAGCTTTTAGTAATATTTGTCTTTTTACTATCAACCCCAGCCCCCGTTCTGCTATCAATTTACATCAACTCTATTGGAAGGTTGATCACGTCTCTCCACAACTTTCTATCCTTTCTAATTCTAAGCAATATTTATCTCCTTATTATCTCTACTCCTCCCTGATGTAATCCATTTACACAAGCTCGTTAGGTAGGTTGATCACGTCTCTCCACAACTTCCTATCTTTTGTAGCTCTAAGCCATATTTTACTGTCTCTCCTCCTCCTCCTCCTCCCTGTTCTGCCATCTATTTACACAAGTTCATTAGGTAGGTTATTCGCCTTTTCCCTTTGGCCATCTTGCGTTCATTATGTTCTGCCAGTTTCTCCAATGCCTCCTTCCTCATTGTGTATTCAAGAAATTTCAACTGTCTACCATGTTATAATTTTAAAAATGTTATTTCTTTCAGAATGTTAACTTCCATGGCTCTCCACAGCGCCCTTCTCTTTAATATTTATAAACTGCCATGTTTTGGAGAAAAATAGTGCAGAGGGTTCCAGCTACTTTCTCCTTGGTTTTGAATTCAATGTTTTTGTGCTCTTAGACTAGTTTCCCTAATAAGCTTAAAGAACTCAGTCTACTATACTATTTTACCTATAACTGCGTGGAGTTAGATTCAGGCCTTTTCTAAAAACTTTCGGGCAAAATGAATGCAAACAGCTTCGGTTGCATTTATTTCAATTGTTAAACTCCAAGTAAGGCGTCAATAACATTGAGCTCCGGGTGAAAGTGAAAGAGAATGAAGAGATTGAATATGTGAAGGATTGAGGAAAGGACAAAAAAGGAACAAGGTTCAAGAAGACAGAAAATACATTTTTACATTTAAATTTTTGAAGATTGTACTTATCAGGAAATAAGAAATTTGAGGCAAGTTCCACAGATTGGAAGTGCAAGAAAAAAAAACGCTAGAGTTGAAATGGCAATTGCATCTAGCTAGTTCAACAGTAAAGTGATATGACATTGTTGCCAATTTAGTAGCACGCTTAAATTCATGTAGTCTGTGCCCCAGCAAAAAAGCTTATCCGATCAGTTGCCATGAAAATATTTGTAGAACAGACAAAGAGAAATCACGTCACGTCGGTGAGAAAGTTACTAGAGACGAGATGCCTGGTCAGGATTGATTGTATTGCAGACACAGATATGGCAACAGTATTCAATACGCAGACGAATGATGGATTTATAAATGTGCAAGATGGCTAGTGATGAGAAAAACTTTAGAGGAACGACACAGTGAATTAATCTTCTTCACACAGACGTAGTAAATGAGTCGATCGACTTCATGTCAGTGGAAAACGTGAGGCTAAGAGCGCGCAAAGTGCTACTCTCTTGGAGTTCAGCATCAGCCATTCTGTTGTTAGGCAGAAAAGGTTCTCTGGTGATTAAATGAAAGAATTTTTGTTTTCGAGGCGTTGAAATTTACAAGCCATTTCTTGCCTCAGTTAACAATCGATTGGATCTGCCACGCTTACTTTGTCCAATCTTTTGACATGCTACTAAGACAAAATTAAATGTTAATGTCATCTACATAAATATCTACTTGTGAATTTATGACATCAGGAAGATCATTAATGAAAATTAGAAACAATGCCGGTCCAAGGACAGAGCTCTGAACCCCTGCGGTTGTATGAAATGATCTGAAAGCGTGCCCGTTCAATACGACCTTCATTACTTGATTGGTTAGGGACGATTGAATTAAGCCAAGTATATGTCCCGTGATACCTCGAACTTGCGTAGAAGGCAAGCATTCCAAATCCTTTAGAACACCTTCGATATATCTAGATCCTCAGCCCGAGTTTCGCCATTCTTATCTAAAGCTTGATAGATAACTTCACAGATGATCGTTAACACGTCGACGGTAGACCTAGCAAATCGGAAGTCATATTGTTTGTCCGAAAGGCGATCGTTTCGGCATTGATTAGGGCCTCGAATACTTTGCCAAAAAGAGATGAGGCTAATTTGAGGGGGTCAAACGGTTTTCCAGAGTTCTTAAAACAGGAACTACGGAGAAGACTTCCAAGAAGCTGGAAAGAAAGAAGTAGCGAGGCATTTGTTGTAAATTTTGGAGAGAACAGGAGCCAGCTCAGGAGCACATTTATTTAGGACGGTGGCGGTGATCTCGTCGCATCCACTGGCCTTGTAGGGGTCTAAGGTTAGAGTAAACCACCGTTCTAAGGGAAAAATCTGGCAGAGTTCCTCCAGATTTGTCGAGAGTTGAGTTGGAAGAGAACTTCCGGCTAAAGCAATCACCTTATCTGCAGTAGATGTCAATACTTCAAATTGATTGAAAAGAGGAGGGACTGAGGGTCTTCTATTGTTCAACACACTCTTGCACAGCCGCCAGTAATCCCTAGAACCAAACTTGTGAGTGGCTATATGGTGTCTCATTCTATCAGAAAATAGGGACTTCTTTGAAGACACGCGTAAACTCATTAAATGCAGTGACAAAGAAACGTCTGTTACAATAAAAACTTGTTGCTCTGGTATAGCCAGAAGAAGTAATTCCTGTGGGCTATAGCGGCTGAGTAGGCAGGTGAGAACCAGGGAGCTGATCGTGGTTTCACTTGGTATTTCCTAGCTGAAACGAAAGCTTCAATATCAGCTTTAACTCAAGAAGAGATCTCAGTGATACATTTCTGAACAGGACGATTAAAAATATCACCAAGGAAGTCATGAAAAGAGTCCTAATCAGCGTGTTGATAACTGAAAGAAATTCTGTTAATGCCAGGTCCGTGACTGGTGGGAGAACGAAAAGAAATATCTATAGACACAACCACATGATCAGAGTTGCCAAGAGGACAGCGTTGCAGCACGTGAGAGGAGTACGGCGTGGAGGCAAGGAAGTGATCATATAGAGAGACATGTCCATCAGAATTACCGGTCTTCTACTTGTGTGAGAGATTGTATAATAGAGAAGTTCAGAGTTTGGATGCCAACGAAGTCAGTGACATTAGAGCGAGTAAGCCCTCTGACATAGTGGGCATTGAAATCTCATTGAACACAAAAATATCTGCAACGGGTGTAGAGATTATCAGAAATTCTATCAAACACGCAACAGTCGTGAAAGGAAGTGGAACAATAGAAGAAGAGATAGATGATTAAGTTTAATAGAGAAAGACGGAGGAGAGGCACCTGTAAGAGCAGTCCAGAAACTCAAGAGATAGTTTTCTTGCCTGTAAGAGATGTTTCCGAACATATACACCAAGTGTATGTGGACATTAGAGTCTTTCAGGGAGAGTGGAAGATAGCCAGGAATAGAGAATTCAGTTGAAAAGATTGAAGAATTAATATTAGTTTCACAGAGAACTAGGATGTCCAGAGAGCGTTCCATGAGGAACGATTCCATACTGCAGAAATTGGTAGGAATACCACGAATGTTGGAGAAAAAACAGTTGATGGGTTTAGGTGTTTTAATTGTATTTCGTTTGTTTTTATTCATGTTTTTTTTTTAAATATTGAAAGGCCAAGAATAATAGTAGATACCGGGAGTCCAAGGAAGTCTTTCCTGGCTGGGAATTGGCACAGATTGCAGCATAGTGTGACCTCAGGGTTGCCCACTAGAAGTGCTTTTTAAAGACATCTTTCCATGCGCGACATGGCATTAAAAAAAAACCCCGATATGCGATTGTTGATCAGAGCAGCCTCTGGAGACGCTACCCAAGGGTTCGGGCTCCTAAATCCTAGTCGGGATGCTTCAACCAGAAAAATGTCAACTTGGTATTCTCAGTATGAAGAGTTATAGCCACTATCCAGTTATATGACCAAAAATTCATGATAGTCAGCCTTATT